AAAAAAAAAAAACTACATCAACTACAGTAACTACAGCTACTACACCAACTACAGCAACTACAGCTACTACACCAACTACACTAACTCCACCAACTACACCAACTACAGTAACTACAGAAATTACTTCAATATTCTCATAGTGGGCTTAGTGGTCACTTAATGTCTCTATATTCGTGACGGTTATCATGAACCCATTACCCTTCTTGGAGTAGCACAGCAACGATTCCATGTTTGCTACTGTCTACTTGAATTACTACTTCTTTCGAGGAGTCAAAGTAAGCTAAGCAAGGAGACTCCAAACTACACCAAGTACACAAAACTACACCAACCACACAAAACTACACCAAAGTACACCCACTACACCAAACTACACCAACTACACAAAACTACACCAAACTACACCTACTACACCAAACTACACCAAACTACACCACTAGACCTTTGTCGAATGCAAAGTCGATCACACTAGTGATTTCTCCCCTGGCATCTCTTATGCAAGACCAAGTGCGTTACCTTAAGTCCGTGGGAATCAACGCTGAGTTTATAAGGGTCGAACAGGAAAGCGAAGAGGCTAAACAACACGTGGAACGCGGGGAATGCCAAATCGTGTATGGCTCACCCGAGGCATTTTTGTCTACCAAAAGATGGCAGGCAATGCTGAGCAACGATGCCTACAAAAAGAGGTTGTTTTTGGTTGCAGTTGATGAAGCTCACTGTATTTCTCACTGGTAAGTCTATTCAGCCTTCCCCGTTTCCCTCTGTACTTTGACTCTCGTCCTTTTGCATTGTACATTGTACATTGTAAGCTTAAATACTTTTTCAAATTGAAGGGAAGCTATTCTTTATAATAACATGTGCACAGATTCTGATTGTAAACCTTGGAATATCTAGATGAAGCATATACTCTTACATCTAATCGATTTGCATTATATGATTCTATTTAAAAGTAGGATGAGATAATGTAGCTGTGCTGTATTTCTTTAACGAAGACGTTTGAGACGTACATGTGGTATATCACAATCAGATGAGGTTTCATCTCTCACTTAATTTCATTTTATTACAAGAAGTCCAGCGTGACTTTTTTATTTTATAAGATACTTCCTTTCTTAGACATATATATAATCATAGTTATATTTAATTAGTCTTCAGTTGTTTCTCAGGCATGTACATGTAGTATGTGTTGTTGATCAAAATTACAGCTGAGAATAATTTTGTGCCTAGGAATATTCCTACGTTCCTGTGTCCTCTGATTAATTGTTCGAGATTATGAATATCTAGGAAAAGGAGGAAAGGAAATGGAGAATAGAACTAAGTTGAAGTGGAACATACTGTAAATACTATCCACAAATTTAACTTAACCAGGGGCGTACCTCAAAAATCTAAAAATATATATTTCATTGTATTTACGTCTTTACGTCTTCCCCCCGAAAAACATGGAAATGGCATTTCCGAGGCCCTAAAAACAAAAAAATTTTCTGAGAGTATGCCGCTCGGCGATTGTTTCACTACTCCTTCCTGTGCGTACCTAACTGGAAAAACAACGCTACACCCCAGTTAGCTTGACATTATTGTATGTTTCCATTTCAGGGGTTATGCAGTGAAGAAAGGAGAAATGGCCTTTCGAAAATGGTTCAGCCGGATCAACGAGATCCGCTCAATTGTCGGCAAAGTGCCCCTGATTACACTAACTGCTATAGCAACTATGTCAACAAGACTCAAGATCATGCGGTCTCTTGAGATGAAAAGCCCAACCCTCATAATGGATAGCCCAAACAGAGATAACATAAGTTATGCTGTTCAAGTTATCGCCCCTGATCCTGCTCAAACATTTAAGACCTTAGTTCAAGAGTTAAAGGAGCACACAGGATTAACTGAGAGGACAATTATAAATTGCCAGACGATCAAAGTCATCACTTTTTATATTCTTTCTTTATGTCAGAACTTGGCAATTCTGGTGACCCTAAGAAGAGGACTGTGGAAATGTTTCACAGCAGAATTGATGATCTTAATCGAGATCATATTTTGGAGTCAACGGGTAAACCAAATGGCTCAGTCCGTGTCTTGATAGCTACTATTACCTATGGTATGGGCATTGACTGCAAGAATGTCAAGACAGTTCTGCACTATGGGCCTTCTTACAACCTTGAAACCTATCTGCAAGAAAGTGGCAGCGCTGGTAGGTCAAACCATCAAATGTGCAAGTCTGTGGTTCTTTACTCAAGCCTTATGATGAAGCACTGTTCTGAGGAAATAAAAAGTTATGTGCGAGAATCATCTACATGTAGAAGGAAAATACTCCTTAAAAACTTTGATGTGGACCTCGAAAAATTGCCTGCGGCTGAACCAGCACATAATTGTTGTGACTTTTGCAAGAAAAACTGTAAATGTCAAGGGGACTGTTGTGATTTTGTTTTCTTTAAGTCACTGTTCACAGATATCCAAGAGGGTCCAACTGATTGTCTTTCTAGAGAAGTGAGCGATGCTCAGAGGGCTAGTCTACGTGAAAAGCTGAACTACCTAAAGAAAGCCTTGAGAGGACAATATGTGCGTAGGGTAAGACTTGAAAATGTGCCAATGTTTACTCCCGCAAAGTTGTCTGGTGCATTTGGAGATCTGCATGTGGAACAGATTTTGAGCAATTGTGAGAAAATTTTCACTGTCACTGACATTTTCAAATTTGTTGACATCTGGAATTTAAGTGTGACCTTAGAAGTTTTGTTTACCTTCGGCCAAGTCTTTCGTGATGTTGATGGGTGTGAGCCTGTTGAAGAGCCACAACACAATGGCACATCAGAGTTTGCTGATCTGGACATTTTTGATTTTGACATTGAGGATTCTGTCTTGGCTGGCATTCAAGAAGGAATGTTTTATACTGCTGAGGATAGCCTTTTTGAACCCAATGAAGAAGAGTCTGGCTCTGATGTTGAGTAAACTGAAAATTTTGTTCAATCTGTTAACCCATAAATGTCATTATATTCTTTACATTTCTATATTTAGCTGTTAGGGGTTACTGAAGCATTCAAAACAGTATCATTATGTCTGGTGTTCATTCCCTTTCTTTTCTTACCCAGGAGATGTACATGTCAATGTTGCTTTGAGTATAAATATTACAGGAAATCAGGTTTTAAAAAACTTGGAATAGCTACAAAACTGGATCTGATCACTGTCACCCATCTCCCGGGTCTGCGGCTCATTTTCCTGAAAAGCGGCCGGTAATCGAGCCTACAACTGTTACTGAAAAGGTCAAAAGCACTTTTAGGTTTTTTCAACAGTGAAATGATTCAAATGTCCAGTTCAAGCAGAACTTACTTGCAATATTGTGATATACTTTATTAGGTGCAACTTGGTATTTTCAGATGATCCACATCGAGTTTTGCTTTGAACTAGCGGTTATTAAGCCTGTTGGGTAAACAGACTTGTTGTAAATATACAATATTATCAATGGTCTGCTGAAATTTCCCATTTCTTAAGTCAAAAAGCTGTACATATTATAAGTTGTAAAATAAGCCCTTTAAAAAAATTTTTGAAATTATTTGGAAACAATATTCCCTGTTGGGTGGTATAGCTGTATCAGAATCAGTTTCATTTGTTTTTACATTGACTCAATAAATACATGTATCTATAAATCTATTTGGAGCACATAGTGCATCATTTGATACTCCCTTTGTTAAAGGTACACTGTCTTGTTTTCTGATAATCNTACTTGTAATATTGTGATATACTTTATTAGGTGCAACTTGGTATTTTCAGATGATCCACATCGAGTTTTGCTTTGAACTAGCGGTTATTAAGCCTGTTGGGTAAACAGACTTGTTGTAAATATACAATATTATCAATGGTCTGCTGAAATTTCCCATTTCTTAAGTCAAAAAGCTGTACATATTATAAGTTGTAAAATAAGCCCTTTAAAAAAATTTTTGAAATTATTTGGAAACAATATTCCCTGTTGGGTGGTATAGCTGTATCAGAATCAGTTTCATTTGTTTTTACATTGACTCAATAAATACATGTATCTATAAATCTATTTGGAGTACATAGTGCATCATTTGATACTCCCTTTGTTAAAGGTACACTGTCTTGTTTTCTGATAATCAACTTAAGGTGAAGTCTACGTTAGCTTCACCCTATACTGTAAAGCCTTTAGGGTATTGTACAGAAAAGGTTCATTAAAGTTAATCATCAATTGAACATGATTGTCTAGTGCAGACAACCTACCATAAGAACCGAGTGCAAAGAAAGTCGGTTTTAAAGCTTACCATTCGGGTAAGTTATTGCTAGTATGTACTAGCCCAAGACTCCTTTTAAAAAAGCCCCCCCAAAATTTTGATGAGCAGTCCCGAACAAGTCAGTTTGGCTATTTTGTCGTTAGCGCTACTATAAAGGAATTATTTTCGGCTACGAAAATGGAGTAATGTGTTGTGTGATGACTTTGCGTGTGTTACCCTTTTTAATTAGGTTAACGAAGACAATAGGCGCCTTAATCTAAATCAAGACTGTACTTTGTTCTCGTTTTCTGAAACCAGTTTCGAAAAGCAGTGCCACAAGCTAAGGGCTTAACTAGAGTTATTCAGCCAGAGAAAGTAGCCTCTAGAATTCGGCAAATTTCCACTCAGCCTCATAGTTTGCTCGTGTGGCAAATGGGCATGTGCTGAATGTTGCAAAGAATGGGGGAGCTGCTAAGGAATATGTCAGCTGCAATGTAGCGATCCGAATGATTTTGGGGGGAACTGGTGAACGCACTATATCTTGCTTTAACATTTGGAGCATATCAGCCTATGCTATAGTCAACAGCTTTTACCGAAAATAATCTTGCATTTGTATTTTGGCCCTCTTCCTGTGCCCCAGAAAGAGCAATAGTTGTACTTACCGGGTTGCAAAACATGCCGAATATAAACAGGCGTGTGCGCCAAAAACTGTCTTAACAAGGTACGGAAAATATTTTTTTTCAACAGAGTACTGTTTACGAGTGTTTTTTGAAGACTTTCCTACTGACAAAAAGTGGTCGATTTTTGACCTTTTACGGCCACACCCAGAATTTTCAGACAATCACAGACAAAATTAGTTGGGAAGGTTGTACAACTTAACAGTAGTCCATTTTTATCCCGAAAAAAGAGAGTTTTCTCTTTTGCTAAATATCCCCTGTCCCCCCTATTCAGTGTTGGGATATAACAGAACAATTGCACGCACAAACATTAACGTTTTGATCAACACTGGGCCAGGGGTGGGGGAAGGAAGAAAAAGAAGAGGTAAAAAAGTCAACCTTCCCAACACTTTTGACGATTATTGTAGTTCCTCCTTTACTGCGTCTTGAATGGTAATAGGAACTTTCCCACAAGGCAGTACTTTGGGAGGAACACTTTCATCAATTCTGAGAGTAGCTTCACCCAGATCACCAAGTTTTAGGGTTGATACTTGTGAGATGAAACATTCTCTATTTATGGTTAATATATAGATTTAGCCAGGGCTAAAAGCGAAGCTCCCGTTAATAAATTCATAATTTAAATCAAACAATAAACTTGTAATCCACAGATCAGGGCACATTCATTTGACGTTTGAGAAAACGTTTTTAGAGAAAAATAATTTGACAGTCCAAGATGGGAACAGCTTTTATATTAAGTTATTCAATAGTCTTATTTGTACACCCAAAAATAGCAATCATGTTCGATCACAGTAGATTAGGCCAAAACTTGTAAGCTTCTCCCAATCCCACCAAGTCTGCTTGGAATACTTGTGCGATTTCGTGAAAATGAAGTAGCTTTCATAGGTGACATCAAGAAGATGTACCATACCGTTAAAACGACAGTACTAGATCAACACACACACCGGTTTTTATGGAGGGACATGGTCACCGACAAAGCACCCGACACCTATGTGATACAAAGAGTTTCATTCGGAGATAAACCCTCTGCAACCATCGCTACGATGGCCTT